AGGTCTGATTGCCCTAGGGAACCTGCCCTTTCCAGCACGGGGTGGCACCCACCTCCAGCATTGTTTCAGGCTGAAGTCAGGCAGGGGAAGTAAAGCATCCAAGAGATTAGGAGACTTCTCCCAGACAGAATGAGGACTCAGGCTATGTCAAAGCCGAGGGGCAAGCGTCCATCATCCCCTTTTTCTGTAGCCCCCCGAGTTCTTCCCTGGGCTCCCCCCCCATGATCATTCCTGTCTTCATTGGATTTCCCTCAAGGGATCATCCCTCCCTTGAGGAATCTTACCCATCATTAGCTAACCGATCAAGCACTGGGGGCCAGGCAGGGTGAAGTAAAAGGCAGAGGTGGTGCCCCTGCCAGGGAGATAAGCTTTGTCTCCTTATGGGCTGAAGGTCACTCACTCAGCCTTAGCCATGGGGGGAGTTATAGCTTCTGAAACCAGGCAGGGGGGTTCCCAACAAAAAATCATGTCTTATTTTGAAAAGTACTTAAATTCCACGGTTTGGGTTACTTAAATGTAAGTGCTTAACCTTGCAGACACTGAGCGATTTCTGTGGCACCACCCACAGGCTCAAGTCCATCAGCAGTTCCCAGTGCCAACTCTAAGCTTTCAGCTGGACAACTCAGAACACACACACACACACACACACACACTTAGGAATCTACTACCCTCTCCCCTCCCCCACACCAGGAGATTTTGATTTAGTTATTTTAAAGTTCACTGGGTACTTTTGGCCATCAGCCAGGTTTGGAAACTGTTGAGCTGGTTCCCGAGTATCCGTCCATCCATCTGTTAGGTAGGATAGGTAGCAAACCAGGGCAGGGAGGAGGCCAGAGACGTGTCTCACCTGCTAACTCAGCAGGACTGGGCCTGGCCCATCATCTCGCCAGGTGTTCCAACGTCACAGGAAACACTGTGATAACATGGGGGAAGGGCAGTCCTTGAAATCCTACGAACCTTCTCCACTCTCTGGGAAAGGAAGCCTTAAAACTGTGTATTCATCCCAAGGCATAGAAGCAGGAAGAGAAGGGGTCCACAGTGCCCAAAGAAGAAGCCCATTAGCCAACTTTGGTTAAGAGCCTGCCTCTGGTCACTGTTTTACAAGGGGGTCCGTAAGGCTTGCAGAAAGAGCCCACAAATAACTTTGAGTAACTGCCCCAACTTTAATTAACTGTCTCCTGTCACGTATGTGTGTTACAAGAAAATGAACAAATAGAGTCTGGAGCAAGATAAGGATTTGGGCTAATAGACCCCCCCCCCCCCACATACCTAAGTTTGGGTAGTCACGTACTGCTCCCCCACCCCTTGAAAGCTGGCACCACCTTTACCTGTCAATCAGTATGTAACTTAGCCCCATCCCGCCGACTGTATAAGTCCTCAACACAGAGGACCTGATGCCTTTGGCCGTCCTTACCTTGCCCAGCCCTGAACCTGGCCTCTCAGCTCCCACCTTAGCTAGGCCTGTTCTCTTCCTGGAGAACGTATCACTAATAAACCCTGCTTACAGGCTGATAGACGTACTGATCTGTGATTCTACTGCGTCAGCAAGAAAGACCAGGTTTCTTCCATAACACATCCATCCATCCATCCATCCATCCATCCATCCTGCTTCCCTTCCTCCAGAAAAAGTTTAAAGTATTGACTTAAATAAAGTAACTTAGGAAATCAATCATTAAAAAGTAAATAAATACAAACGCTAATGGTGAGTTCATCTTTATCTGCTTTCTCATAGTTTTGTTCCCAAATTTTCTTGGCATGTTATTATAATAACTTTTAAAGAGTGGCCCTTTGTAGATCAAAAAAAATTAATCCAGTCAGGGTGGCTGTTTCTTTTTATATTTGGTGAGCTATCAGTTAACTGAATATTTTATTTTTAGATCTCGCTTTCCTCCACAGGACCGAAAAGAAAACCTTCAATGGCTGTGACTTTACAAATTACTGGTGAGAGACAAGACCCCTGAAGTTGGTCCTGCAACACCTCCTGGAGAAATGATACCTGGCAATATTACATAAAATATAAAAAGGGCTTTCACTGTGTTGCTGAAGTTTCAAGTTGGAACCTAGCACTTGAGGACTGAACGGATGTGAAGTGGCTGAACCAGTTGAGGTCTCCGGTCCAGCCCTCTGTTCCCGCTCAGGACACAGTGTGATTCTAGCCAGTGGACTGCTTCCACCTAGTGGTGAAAAGTGGTCATACTACTTCAGGGGTTTTTTGTTGTTGTTTTTTTTAGTGTTTCATCCGCAGAATTATGGTTTATAAACATCAGACATTTATTTTTCACAGTTCTGGAGATTGGAAGTCTGAGGTCGAGGTGTTGGCAGGGTTGGTTTCTCCTGAGGCCCCTCTCCTTGGCTTGGGTCCTCACCTGTGTACCTAGGTCCTAATCTCTTCTGACAAGGGTACCAGGCATCACATTGGATTAGGACCCACCCTAATAATCTTGTTTTAACTCTTTGAAGACCCTTCTCCACACAAGGCCACATTCTGAGGTGCTGGGGGTCAGGACACTTCCACACTGCACGTGATCGCTGTTTGCATGGAATTACTATTCATAATTTTATTTACAAACCCATCACCAGCTGTGTGAGGCTGTGTCAGGAACCAACTTTTTTTGTCCACCGCCCAGCCTTATGCTGTAATAAAAGGGTGTTTGTGTTTCTCATTTCTAGTCTGTAAATAGCCCAAACAATGTCCTGTTCATCTTCACATCCTCCGAACCCAGTGCCTGGCACAAGGTAATGCTTCCAAAACATCTATTGAAAAATAAAGTTAAAACTTCCGATCTATGGGAGCACTGGCCAGGGGCATCCAAACAAATATTTGGAAAAGTTTTCAGTGAGAAGCTTTTGTTAACTGAGGTGGGGGGCGTGTTGATGGAGGTTCAGACGGGACCAGATTTGCCTTGAGTTTCCATCACTGAAGCTGGGGGGACGGGTAATGGGACTGCACTGTAGTGGTGTCTCTACTTTTAAATACGTTTAAAATTTTCCTCAATAAAAAATCCTTTTAAAAGCCCCATTGGTTTATAAATGGGCGAGAGAAAGGGCTAGTATTGCATTGTAGTGAACCGGTCTGCCCTGGAAAGCTGCTTGCTTTGCACTTTGTCACAATGGCCTTTAGCTGAGGAGCAATGACATTTACTTCCTCCAGTCTGGGAATAAGCCCGGTGACAAGGAAGACGTCACCGCGGTGGCTAGTGACAGCCTCATCTTTTCTTCAGCAAGAAGCGAGGGGACTGTTGAGTAATACCGTGATCGTTGTTACACGTTACCCTCTGGCTCAGACTTTGTAAATAGATTTGTCTTTAATGGAGACAGGAGAGAGGGATTGTAGGAGCTGATGGAAATTTCCACTGCTGGGTGGGGGAGCGTGTCACGAGATTCCACACTGACAGTCATTAAAGGTTACAAAGAAGAAAACCACGTAGAAATAAATAGAGGTTTGACATTTTTATAGGAAGAAAGGGGGATGAGAAGAAATACTCGATGCACACTGTTTGGGATGAGGAACGCGGTACAACCGCGTAGAAACTCCCTTTCTTTCATACGACCTTTTCTCCCTTCTTTCCTTCTGGTTCACACCGGCCCCACCCAGCACCTCGACCCACCTGCCTCCCCAGCCAGTTGGAGAGTGATCTCTGGGGGGCAGGGATTTCAGTCTGTCCATCGCCCTACTGGCCCTACTGCTAGAACCCAGCTCCACTTCAATACTTGCCGAATGAATGAGTGAGTGATGAGTGAGCGTGCCCTGGTCCCCAGATGTTAGTTATCTAAGCGGTCACTCGAGTCTTCTGTGTTTATGTTACTGATTGTTCTTACCTGTCAGCGGCACATGACACTAACCTTGGTAGGACACTGACATTTCCACTGGTTTCCAGACGTCACTGCAGCCTGTCACTATCTTTTGGATCCATCTCCTAGCGAGTTAAGTATCCCTTCCAGCCATGTACCATCTGCATATTTGATGAGTGACATCAGTCCTCTAACTGGTAACAGCAGCCCCGTCTGGGATGGGGGTGGAAGGCCACAAGAGACAGATGGGCCCTGCAGGGGGTCACAAGCAATGAGAAAAGAAGAGATGCCATAGAAACTTCTTGAAGCTCAGCATTAAGCAAAGGTAAAGTGGGTCCAAGTCAGATGTCTAATTTGGAGCTAATTTGGGGGATTAGATAACTTTTTTTTTCATATTTATTTATTTATCTTTAGAGGGGAAGGAGAGAGGGAGAGAAACATCAATGTATGGTTGCTTCTCGTGCATCCCCTGCTGGGGAACTGGCCTGCAGGGAACTGGCTTGCAACCCAGGCATGTGCCCTGACTGGGAATTGAACCTCGATCCTCTGGTTCGGAGGCCTGCGCTCAATCCACTGAGCTACACCAGCTAGGGTGGGATTAGATAACTTTTACTTGTCATGAAGTCAGGAGACCTGGGAAAGGGTTCACCCCAGCCGGCATCCTGGGGAAATGAATTCATAGGGTTGCATGAGTGAGAGGTCTCCAGAGAAATAGAACCAACAGTGTATGTATGTATGTGTGTGTATATATATATGTATATATATATATGTATATACATACACACACGTATGTATTGAGAGAGAGAGGGGGGTTTATCTTAAGGGATTGTGGAGACCGGCAAGTCCAAAACCTGCAGGGTGTGCTGGTGGTCAGGAGATGCAGGACAGGTTTGCATCTTGAGTCCAAGAGCGATTGTTGGCAGAATCCCTTCTCCCTTGGGGCTGGAAAGTCTTTTTCTTAAGGTCTTCAATGATTGGATGAGACCCGCCCACATATGGAGAGCCGTCTGCTCTATTCGAAGTCTACTAATGTAAACGTCAATCCCATCCGAAAAATACCTTCACAAAAACACCTAGTATATGCCCTGGCCAGGTGTCTCGGTTGGTTAGAGCATCATCCTGATACACCAAAGTTGTGGGTTTGATTCCCTGTCAGCGCACACACAAGAATCAACCAATGCTGCATAAATAAGTGGAACAACAAATAATTGATCTCTCTCTCTCCATTCTTCTTTTTCTCTCAAATCAACTTGTAAAAATCTACTCTCTACTAGTCTGTCTCTAGAATAGTATTTAACCAAATATCTGGGTACCATGGCCTAGCCAAGTCAACACCTAAAGTACCATCAGAGTAGCACGTGGGAAAACCCAAACCCAACCCAAAACATCCGGGCTTACCCAACAGGCGAAGCGGCTGTAGTCCCACTGGCTGTTGCATGCTTCCAAACCCTCCTCATAACCTCAGACCTTGTGCCTCCGCTCATTGCTGACACATCCTGAAATGCCCTTCTCCCAACTTGTTCCTTCACCACTGGAAAAAAGTCTACTCATCTTTCAAAGTTCAGATCGCATGTCACCTCTGCGCCCCTTTCTTCAGTCCCACAGCCCGTCCCGAAGAACTCACGCCCTCCTCGGCCCTGTGAGTCTGCACCATTGCAGCGCTGATCACACTCATTCGCCCAGTGGCTCCCACATCCACGACTCGATCTCTGACCTCAGCAAGCTACCCAACCTTCCTGTGCCTTAGTTTCTTCACCTATAAAGTGGAAATAAAATCACACTGACCATGCGTGGTTGCAGTGAGGGCTTAATGTATGTAAAACTTTAAGAACAGTTTTCAGCCTGTAGAAAACATTAAAAAACTAGTATAAAGGACACATGGACAACAACTAAGGGGGGTGGAAATGGGAGGGAGGTGGGGAGCACTGGGAGGGATGGGCTGGGATGGGAGTAAAAGACAGAAAACTGTACTTGAACAATAATTAAATTAAAAAAATTAAAAATACTTCTGGAAAAAAAAAGAGTAAAAATAAAGGTAGAGCATATTTTAAACCAGGAAAAAAAAGGTGCTAACTTTCATTCTTTGTGTTACTGTGGCTCTCTGATTCCTCTGTCGTGTGGGAAGACCTGGTGTTTCTGGAGGGCGGGGACCTCAACATGTCCCCCTACGAACGTGTAGAACAGACCATGGTGTGCAGGCGTTTATTGGAGTGTTCAGGATCTTACATTTGTGGAATGTTCTACAACATCCAAAGGCTGGCAACATCATAGCCCATTAAAACCTCATTACACTCTTGCGAGGTCATTCTCAACCCCATATTATGATGAGGGAACTGAGAAGTAGACACTAAGTGCATTGTCCAAGTGCAACTAAGTTGCACTCACAACTGGCAAGTGCAAAGTCTCCAACTCCAAGTCCAAGGTCGTTAAGAGGGAAGGACACAGATGCCAGGGAAAGTTTTTCTTTTCTGGCCCAGGTACCACCCCTCCTCCTTCCATCTCCCTCTTCTTATTGCTGAAATCATGGCCATTCTGGACTGTGAAGCCCGCAAAGGTGATGGGGCCCCCATCCCTACTACAGAACTGACCTGGCAAGGGGTGAGACGGGAGAAAACTCTCAATACAAGATATCCTCGGCCGTGACCGTGGCCTCCTCCATTTTGGTCTGAATCTCTGGGAGGGGAATTTGACTGATGGCCACCACAACCAAGTTGGCAGCGTGGGCTGAGGCACTGGCCACACAGATCCAAAAAGACTCTTCGTATCGTTCTTCCACCACGACAAAGCGAAAGAGCTTCTCCTGGAAGTTGGCGATGCGTTCCGTCAGGTCGTGAAACTTCACCGCGGCCATGAAACTGGCGATGGCCAACGCCACGACTCCACCTGAAACCAGAAAAGTGGACCCTTATTCCCACCTTCCAACTGGGCCATAGGAACGACTTGACAGGAGGTGGCATTTTGGGGGCACAGGCAACAAACTTGCTTTGGGTTTAAAAAATATCCTTAGGGAGACACAGATATTACACTGCTTCTCAAAACAGCAGAAAACCCACACAGTGGGAGGTGAGAGGTGCTGGGGAAAGAGAAGGAGCTTCACATCAGATGGACTTTCACCCTCCACCCACCTACTTTCTCCCCCCGCCCAGCGCCGTTCTGTCCAGGGCATCCACAGCGGAATGTGTTCAGTCCCTGAGGATTTTAGGATTTGGATGCAGACCGTGAGGGCAATGTGGGAAGATGCTAAGAACATCTTACCGTGCAGCCTGGGGTCTCAACAGAGTGTAGACTGTTCTCTCCTTTTTAATGACCCTCCTCCCAGACTGTAGCTTACGAAGCAGCAAGAGGAAGGAAGCAAAGTAGGGGGGACTGGAAGGGTTCCAGACTTCACTTGTTTGCCTGCCTGTTGCTTCAGACTTCGCTCTCTCTCTCCTTCTCTATTGCTTTGATTTAAATTAATATTTAAAAAATGCCCTGGCTGGTGTGGCTCAGTGGATTGAGCGTGGGCCTGTAAACCAAAGGATTGCAGTTCAATTCCCGGTCAGGGCACATGCCTGGGTTGCAGGCCAGTTCCCAGGAGGTGACGCATGAGAGGCAACCACACATTGATGTTTCTCCCCCTCTCTCCTTCCCTTCCCCTTTAGAAATAGATAAATACATAAAATCTTTTTAAAATTAAAGAAAATACTCGGGTTACTTGCCCTTTTTGTTTAGATTATTATATCTTCACTGAAGAAAACATGGACCCCAGAGAACATCATAAAGATGAAAACACAAATTTACTTCTATTCTAAAAGCAAGTGTTTATTCTATAAACACTTGAGACATTTTGGTATATTTCCTTGCATTTCTTTCTCTTGAACAAAATTAGCGTTACAGAGCTCTTACCATTTTACACTTGATTTTGCCTTTTACTGGAACATTTTCCCATGTTGTCAAATATTCTCTTACAGCACCATTTTAAACTGGTATGTAATATTTCATCCTAGCAACATACCTAACTAATTTAACTAAGTTTAATTAAGTGGCATCTTATTTCCAAATACCTAGATTGCTTCTAATTTTTGACATTGGAAAGCGCTGCAGGGAAACCCTTTTTAGGTACATCTTTGTGTTCTTTCCTAGTTATTGCTTCAGCAAAAGTCCCTATTGGAGTGGTTTAATGAAAAGGGGACTTGTGTTTTTATGCCTTTTGACACTCACGTTTTGTCAGAATGTCTTTGTTTTTAACACTGTGGTCCATGGGGCCTGAGACTGTTGTCTCTCTGAGTAAGGACGTGGGCAGAGACAAGCGTTTCCTTAAGAAGCAGCACCGGGCACTTGCACGTGCCAGCGTGGTGCACGTCCGAGAGAGCAGCAGGACACCTGTAGCCCAGGTGCGGGCGAGCGTGTGCACTGTAGTCGTTCTGTAGAAGGGCCGCAGCCTGCGCACACGGGCCAGCAGACAGTCATCGCCTTACTGACACTGCGCCCTGACGTACGGTCAAGCAGCAGCCCGTTCCCACACGTCGCACTTGCCCGGGGTGAGGCGAAGGCCGTGGGAGATGCCTGGACCACTGGACGCGGCTTTTCTGAAAGGGCGCTTGTTTCTCAGGGTTTTGTTATTTTCATTGCAGATGATTTTTCAAAGTTTATAGTTATATGTGAATTAATTTCTATGTATCAATATACTTCCAAATCAACACATAGACACGCACATCCCTTTTGCATTGGTGTTTGGTTTGGAAAACAGGTCATGATACCGTACATGAGACCATGGGTTAATGAAAAAGTGAAGGGCTTGGACTCAGTTCTCCCTGGGTTGGAATCCCACCTCTGCCACTCACTGCTCTGTGCCCCGAGGCACCCCTCTGGACTTCTCTGAGTTTCAGGCTCCTCATCCGTAGATAAGGTCTAATAATACTTCATACCACCTTACATGGAGGTTGTGAGGTTTAAACAAAACAGGCAGGTAAAACCCAACTCGGAGGTTAGAGACCCAGGAAGTGAAGGCTGAGGCAGCACGGTTAATTCCCTCCCACCTCCGCCCAGTGTCTCCTCTCCAAACTCCGGAACGCCACCAGGTGATGGTGTGGACACAGGTCCCTCCCCCTGCTCCTCCCTTACCTGCAAGGACGTTCCACAGGCAGATGCCCCCAGGGCCGTTGACTGCCTTGTAGGGAACCTGGATCATGTTGAGGATGGCGAAGCCCATGCTGACCAGAGCCAGGGGCAGGGCCAGGAAGAGCAGCAGCAGAATCAGCACGTGGAGGCCTGTGTTGAGCTCCTTCACCAGCTGTGGGAAGACTGGGCAGAGAAGGCACGGCCGTTATTTCAATGTCAAAGCTCAGCTCAAGTTCAGAAAGCCCAGGCTGGCCCACCACAGAGGTTTTAACAGAGGGGCTGGAGGGCCAGGCTGCAAGTCTGGGTTTCCAAAGACCTGGAGCCTTCCCAAGAGAAGATGTGGCCCCTAGACTTGCCACTTGTCAGTTGACCAACAGTCCTCTTTTCCTTGGGAAGAATGCAAAATCAAAATGTGATCTGGTTGGCAATTTAAGTTGCACTGACCCTGCAGCTCTGGGGCCTGGTATGAGCTGGAGCATATAAGCCCGGATGGTGTCTCTTTAGCAAAGGAGGCTTGCAAGAGAGTCAGCGAAAGAGTCAGCAAAATAGAGCCGATCACGCAGCTCGAATCTGGGTCAGAGGCTTGCCTTCAGCAGATCGGAATGGTTCTCAGGTGTATCTGTGCAGAGGGCAGTGGGGTGTAGTAGAGTGAAGCCTAGCTCTGGCATCCAAAACCCTGCGTTCAAATCCCAGCTTTGCTCATTTGCCACGACTGTAACCTAGGCCCCTGTAATCCCTGCCCTCCACACCCGTCTTACACGGCTGTTGAGTGGAGCCAGTGACGAGCATAGAGATGGTAACAGCGCCCACTGTTGGGCACTAATGGGAAGCCAGGAGCACCCTCTTGGATCCCTCACGATGACTCAGCAAGGTAGACATTATTTCCTGTGGCCAGTGGACACTCAACCCTTATGTTGCACAATATTCTCTTATTGCAGAGTGTTCGAATGTGTGTGGCAGGATAATTTAGTGAAATATTCATTTGTCTTTGTTTTCTCTATATTTGCCATCACATCCTAGCTGCGACAGAGTATTTTAAATATTGTCAGTTTCCCAAAAGGATGGCTGTGATTGTTGCTGTTACTATTTTTATTCTCTGACTTGGGAAAAATCATGTGACTCATCAGAGCCTCAGTTTCCCCATCAGTGCAATGGGGATAATAATGGCTGCCTAGTGCGTGAGTTGAGGGTAATCAGCGATTACGGAGCACAGTCATGGGCCAAGCATTTTATATTTGTTCTCCTTTGATCCTTGTGACAAAGGTATGAGGTCGATTTTATTCACCGCCGTTCCCCACAGGCTCGAGACGCTAAATCCCCTATCTCTGGGCAAGGTGAGCCTGAACGCGACACGCAGGAGTGGTCTCGCGTGGCATGTGGTGTGCAGAGTTTAGATCACTGTTCTCAGTAGTTGTGAGGGAAGACTTTACCAGGAGGAACACTAAAGAGCCTCCGGGCATATACCCGTTCTTCGGCAACTGGTCCAGGGTTTCTACTGAACACGTCCTGGTCAAATTGGGCTCCATCTTGCGAGCTCCAAACTCTGCTTCGTCCTTTGATACCACTGGGCAGCACCTCTTTGTCCCTCTTCCCCCCCCCCGCCAGTGGCCAGGACCCAGAGCTTCCCCGGTCCCTCTCACCGACACAGCCCCACCTGCCCCCCCACCCCCCACCCCCACCCGGGGCTTCGCCTGGCTCCCAGCCTCCCTTTATTCATGGAAGGTTGGTGCCTCCCCAGCCTGAGAACTAGCATTTGGGCCCTTCTTCCTTTAAAGTGTCCTTTCCACTCAGAAGTTTCCAGACTTTCCACATCTACATCCTTAGTTTTGATCTAACTTTCCGGTCTGTGTTTCCACCAACAGTTATCTCCATCCGCTTATCGTATCAGCTTTGGAAACCGTGCCCTGGAAAACGTGCTTCTTTCCAAGGGATTCTTCTGGGTGAGGCTTCTTTCTTCCTTCTCCTTCCCTTCCGTCTCAGTGCCCCATAATTTTTTTTTACACTCGAAGCCCCTTTTTATTCCAAATGTGGTAGCTTATGTCTGGCTGCCTAATTGTTTCATTATCCCGTTTCCTACAATGCAGTCCCGGCAACACAAGACCAGCGTAGTAATCCGCACCAAACACGTAACACAGGAAATAATCACCTCTGTGGCTGGCAAAGATCTAAACATTTGCTAATACACTGTGTCGACAAAAGCAAAGGGAAGAAGGCACTGCCAGACTTTGTAGGCATATGAATTCACACCCCCTCCTCAGAGGGTAACATCTGTCTAAGCAATTTCACAAGAGCATACCCATGTGTGCTCAAGCCTGTATACACCTGGTATTCATTACAGTAGCAAATCATTGGAGAAAAACCCAGATATGGAATGACTAGTCCTGTGCGCTCAGGTGTAAAAGACCTTAACTGGCTGTGATGTGCAGGGACCCTTGCACAGCGCAGGTCTGAACTTCACGGGTCCAGGTACACACTGCTCCTTCTCATGTGGTAAACAGATGGCCCAAACTGATGGGGTCGATCAGCGCAGCACAGTACTGTACGTGTACTGTCTCTTCCTGTGACTTAATAGCTTCTTTAGCTCCCTTTGCTGTAAGATACAGTATGTGATACACATAACATGCCAAATACATGTTGATCGACTGTTTATATTATCAGTAAGGCTTTTGGTCACAGCAGGACTTAGTGATCACATTTTGGGGGACTCGAAAGCTGTACACGGAAACTCGACTTTGTGGGGGTGTTGACGCCTCTCCCCATACTGTTCAAAGGTCAGTTGTATAGTTCCTTAATTTTCTCTGTGACTGGTTTGGAGATGGATTCTCTGGGGTGAGTTTCCTTTTAACATGTCCTTTATTTTGACTGTGTGTGTGTGTTCTGCCTTTTATGTTATATTCTTAATAGAGCTATTTTTTCCAATATCATCAGTGTCCCCATTCCAATTTAATAGTTGCATTCCAGTTTAAATGCAACTATTCCTAGAGACTTTTTTCTTGAATCTACATAACAAATATGTACTTCTGTCAAGTATATAAAATGATGGCAATTTTTATTAGTGCATCTGTCAGTGGCCCAGCTTCTGTCTTTAAAAATATAATAAGATACTAACCCTGGCCAGGTTCCTAAGAACTGCAATTCTGAAATATAGAAATCAAATCCTGGATAGAATTCTTTATCCCCTTACATCAGCAATGTGTTGATTAATTATGATTTTGTAGGACACTGTTCTCACCAGCGAACTGATTGATTCTAAAGGCTTGCAGGATATTGCCTTTTTGTTCTGCTTTGTTTTGATTTTTTTCCTCCCAGAAAACCCGGCACAAGCCTGTCATGGTGTCCTGATCTATTTACATCCAGAGCAGCTCTGACCGGACACTGGATGCCAGCGAACATCTGTGCCCATCAGCCAACCATTGTACCTGCCCACGTTCATGGCCAGCAGCCTGGGGCCTTGCCCGAGGTCTCCCCACCAGCAAACATCCAAGCTGAGCTTTGAACCACGTAGTCTGATTCCAGAGACCAGGCACTGAGCCCCTTTGCTTTTTCTCAGACTAGGAGGCTTTAATATAAACAGATGGGGAAGCCGTTGCCGAGCTGCCTGGAGGCTCATCTCTGCAGGAGGTCTAGTGCACCTGCAGGCTGGCCGAGCACACCCCGGTCATGTGCCCTTGGCTCTGAAGCCTGGCTCTGCCGTTTCCTGGCTGCGTGACCTCAGGCGGGTTATGCAACCTCTGCGAAGCGGGATCGTTAGTCAGTCATTCCTTCCTCATTAGTCAGTCATTCCTTCCTCATACACTTGTTACAAGGCTTAAGAGACCAGCCGTGTAAAGCCCCAGTAGAATGTCTGACACAGGTGAGCACGCAATATTTTAGTGGTTATTGATTCATCATATTGGTTAACTAAAGGATCACAAACCCTATTCCTATGTTTCTATGACCCTCTGCAGGGGGGATAGATAATAGGTCTCTTCTTAGTGCCGAACCAGGACCCCTGGGTTAGTGCGGACTTTGTCATTATGCCTTAGAGTGAGGCAGAAGTCGAATTCCACACTTAGACATAAACACCCTTCCAAATTTGGGGGGGAAAAAGTGTTCTTAAGCATCTTTCGTGCCCCAAATATACTCACTTGTGAACTGGGACTGGCGGCCCCCGAGCCCGCACTGCCGCACCTTACACCCTCGGAAGAGGCCGTAGTAAATGTCCCCGATGAATTTGACCAGCTCCGGATCGGTGGCGTTGACCAGGTCCACGCCAGTCTGACAAAGGATTTTCCCGCTCAGCCAGTGGGGCACCGCCAGCGCCGCGATGATCAGGACGAAGGAGGAGAAGCTGAGTAGGGACGCCAGCCCGAACCACACCTTTTTGAACCATCCAGGCATTCTAGTGGGCGCAGGTCATCCCCCAGGTGTCCCAGCTGCAGCGGGGGCGGTCGACATCTCCCGGGCACTCCGCGATCCTCGGGTCCAAGGACGGCTCTCCCAAACACACCATTTCAGGATCCCAAGTCCACCCCCAGGGACTCCCCGTGTCTGCTCCGCAGCCTGTGTTTGCTACAAGCACATCCGGAAGTCTCTGCAGACAGTCTTCACCTGACAGGGTGGAGGAGTGTGTTACTGAAGGAGGCAACCCGACACCCCCCACTAGACTCATGTTTCAGCCCAGGGTTTAATTGTTCCTCCTTTCAAGTGTTTAAATGACCCCGGTGTGGACCTCTTCAGGGAGGACGACATTATTAGCAGGCAAAAACCAGGCAGCTCTGACCATAAAGAGATGGCTGACATTTCTCAAAAATGCATTCAGTGGAAGGAAATAAATGGAACCACCGGCATTTAAATATTCTGACAATGCATGATATCAAATGTCGATCACTCCGATGATGTGTGCCCGGGCATTTGTGTCTCTAAAACGGCACCGCTGTCAGAGTCCCCAGCACTGTTAGTAATACCGTCAGATGACCTCTGTGCTCAGGGCTTTTAATTGCGGTGTGGACACAAGGTCGTGGGATTCCCGGATTTATCACCGGGCAGGTCTGCCGTGGGTGAAACTGCAGCAGGGGCCTGTTGTGGCCGATGGGGTGGCCTGGACCCCAGCACTGACCTTCCTCCCTTCCGCCCCCTGCCTGGCCTGCCGTGTCACTGAAATGGGAGAGGAATGTTCTAATGCGTTAGCAAACAGTGATCACCCCTTGGGGCCCTTTATCTCTTCTCACAGTGAAGATACGCACTAGAAATGCCTACTTTGCTCTGTAGCCACTAGAAATGAAATATTCCCTCATTTTCTATGTTAATATGGTGGATTTAAAAATTCTGACCTTTAGTCTATTACTTAAATATCAACTTAGTATCTTGTGAGACAGGCAACAACCAACTGTCAATAGCTGCGGGAGGGAACCTGGGCAGAAGGGTCACGGTAAATCCCTTTTTTGGTCACACAGTCGGGAGTGGGGTTCAGGAGGTTTCCTCGCTAACCCACAGGGTTTGAAACCTCACCTGCAGAGTGCTGATGGGGAGGAAGGAAACACGGGGATGGAAATGCCAGCCGGCTTCCCTCTCTGTAATTGGGGTTCACATCTGTGGCCTCTCCGAAATGAACACAGAGATGCCCCTGAAGCTCTGCAGAGCTCTGCCACCTACACAGGGCTCTTTCGCGGGCTCGCTCACCCGGATGCTCAGGCACCACCTATGGTAAGCAGGGGGCCTACCGTCCCAGCCACTTCTCTCCTGAGCAAATGGCAGGTCAGGGCTGCAGCTGGGTTTCAGCTCTTTGACAGGTTGTACTTCTTTTTCATTACAATGACCTGAAAATAGCAAATGCTTTTCTAGTAATAAATAACGAAGTACATATAAAAGAGTGCTTCTCATGGCAATGAGTGGTCAATAATGATACTCTTATTTGAAGATTACGCTTTGAGAGGCAGGACGTGTGTCACACTTTTGCATCACATTTCAGGCCCGAATGATGGACCTATATCAACTTTCAGTGTTTTAGAGGTAATGCAACTGTTTTGGGGAAAGTTCTGGAAAAAACAACGGCTTCTTAACAAGCCTTTGCATGACAAGCGGAGGTGTGGTTCAGCAGAACTGTTGAAGACCTGCGTTCAAACGCCTGCTCTTCCATGCAAGTGCCTGGGACTCCCGTAACTCTGTTTCCTAAGCTGTCGTAGGACGGTTGTGCGCAGTAAAACGAAATAGCACATGCAGATCACTCAGCACAGTGCACCGCATACAGAGAGCCCTAAGTAAATGGTGTTCTCCCCACCCAGGCTTCCAGCCGTTCTATTTCCTGGCAACAAAGCTAATAGAGTGAGTTACAGGAAGCATCCTGTTCTCTAATGACGTGTTTCTGGGTGTCTTATCTGGCACAAGTTTATTGAGCAAACATCTGTGTGTCTGCTGGGAACTGGAACGGGCCCTGTGTTGGGGTGGAGAGTGACACAGGGATGTCCAGCAGGGGAGCCTGCTATCAAGGTCACAACAGCGTTAGGACAGTGCTACTCAGTGATGGGAGATCGTTGCATTTCTTCACCCCAGGGGGCGCTTGGAAATATCTGGTGACATTTTTGGTTGTGATGACTGGAGGGGTGGGACGCTGCTACTGGCATCTAGGAGGTACAGCCAGAGATGCTGTGAACATCCTACAATGCACAGGACAGTCCCCTCCCCCCGCCCCATGCCCACGCAACATGACAGTGCTGCAACTGAGAAATCCTGTATTAGGGGCACAGGCCATGCACAGAAGTTTGCTGATTTGCGAGAGAGAAAATGCTACACTGCTATTAAACAGGGCGGCAGTGCAGTGGCCTTGCGCTCTTACTTAGAGGAAAAATAAACTGTATGCTGTCTTATCTCTCCAACGGCCTCATTCTCTGACGCTCAGGTGATGGCAGGGGGTGCCCACACTCGCGCACCTGCTCTGCACGGTTTCCATCGTAGCTCCGCGCCCTGCACGGCCTGGGTACCCAGTAGCTAGTGGCAGGCAGCAGGGCTCAGCTCAAGCACCCGCCCCAGGGGCAGGCCGGCCAGGTGGGGGTCTCGGCCGTGAGTGCTCGCCCCGATGGGTGGCTTTCCCCGCTCAGCGTGGCCACGCACTAGGCGGCAGCAGCGAGCAAGACGCCGGGCGCGGTTGCCCCGCGGTCCCTCTAGGCCGGTTGGCTGGAGAGGCGGGGTCGGGGCGTTCAGGGGCGTGGCCTTCGTGCTCCTTGCGCCCTGAGCCCCGGGAATCGAGCAGGAGAGGCAGGATGGCGACCGCAGCGAGCGAGGCGCGCCGAGTGCTGGTGTATGGCGGCAGGGGCGCGCTGGGCTCCCGATGCGTGCAGGCGTTCCGGGCCCGCAACTGGGTAACTCCGCAGGCAGGGGGCAACTCCGCGGCCTGCGGGAGCTGGGGCTCGGCTTGGGGAGCGGGGCGGCGGGCACGTTGGTGATTGGGGTGAAGGGGCCCTTCCGGTGCATCCTTGGGGAGCAGTCTGGAGGAAGCGGGGGCACCTACACGTGAGTGCTTGCAAGTATGAGCACAAATCTGCACGTCTAGTCCTGCCTCTGAGTACGTGCCCACGCCGGCCATAGGTTTGGGGTCTTTGCAAGAAGGGAGGTGGGGGGCTCCCCTCCGACTCCTTTGGGCCCAGAAAGTCTGGTGTGATTTAGGAGAGAATTCCAGGGAAGGAGGCAGAGGAGCGCAGCTGAGGAGACAGGGAGAGAAAATGAGAAGGAAGGATCTGGAAATTATACTGCCTGACTCTGGTTACTAGTCAGTCCTGTTACCGTGAACTGATTACTTAACTTCCACAAACCTGTTTCCTTGCCGCTAAAATGGGGATAAAGAGTGTGTGACCCTTGGGCGAGTTCTGAGGATTAAATGAGATTATTTGTGTCCTAGCATGTAAATTACCTGGCTCCAGGTAAAGGATTTTTAAATGTTAACAATTATATATTTTACGTATTGAAGGGGTTCAGAAGAGGCCTCACCAAGATGTGCCACTCTGGCATGTGAATTATTTTGAGCTGAAGGTAATAATAGAGACCCTGTGGGTTCAAGAGAAATTTCTACACCTCCCTTTAAAAATTTAAATTAGGGGCCTTGCCCCTAATAAGAATTATTACCAGAAATATATTTTTAGGACTCATCTATACGGGAATACAGACTTATAACTTTGGAACACATGCTTTTCTTATGGCCTTCAGATGACCTTTCTCACCTCGGAGCCCCCCAAGGTGCCTTACCTCATCCTTAGCTCAGAAGATCATAGGTACTCCATTTTTTAAAAATATTTTATTTATTTATATTTGGAGAGAGGCGAAGGAATGGAGAGGAACATTGGTGTGTGAGGGAGACGGATTGTTTTGACCCTTGTTTGAGACCATCGCGTGTGCCCCAACCAGGACTTGAACTGGCCACTTTCCACTCTGCAGTCAGATGCTCAGCCCACTGAGCCACACCGGTCAGGGTCATATCTACTTCGTTTTAACTTTCCATCTCTGACTTCTCGTGTATGTGGGGTTCTCGTAGTTACGTATGTAATTCAGTTTGGTTATTTTCTCTTGTAAATCTCTCTCATGTTAATTTAATTATTAGACCAGCCCGAAGAACCTAGGAGAATAACGCAGTGTTTCTTCCCTTATTATTTATAAAAATACTGACCTACACCCTAGCCTCCATTGGTCCTGGTATTGGTGGCCTCTTTGTTTTGTAGACTTGCAGCTACTTTGCAAAATCAGATATTCGCTCCCTAAAGGCAGCAACTAGGAGCAGACTTGGTCTCAGGCCAGGAGCCCCGCCCCCAGCCTCCCCGCAGGGACCTGCAGGGTCCTGGTGGGGACTCTTCCTGTGTTCCTGCTGCTGCACCTGTCACTTGCTCAACGCCCTTGTTGGAGCTCTGGGGCATTGTCCTGAGGGTTTAGTTAGCAACTGGGCAGCCTGAGTGACGGTGCCTTGGGACCAGAGAGAGGGGGTCCCAGGGTTTTTTTCTGGCTTAGAATCTGGTATAGGAATATGTTTCTGAGGGATTCTAAACACACCACCCCCTTCCTGCGGTAGACCTGCTCTGGCACCTGGGAAGTCTGCGTGGATGGAAGGTGGTGACAGTTGTAACATTCAGGAGTTCCAGCCCAGCGCCAGGCACCGTGTTCCCCAAAACCAGATCCCGTACATACGTTTCATTTCTTTTACTCTGTGCAACAATTTTGACACAGTGCTCCTGTTGGCATCTGCCTGTTACAGATCTGAGGTGCTGTGCTACCCCCACTATCCCCCCCCGGGTCGGGGGTACTTTGCTTTACCTTTGATTTGGTGGTGGAGTCTGGTGACTGTTGACCTTTGACTTTGTCCCCACCCCTTCATTCCTGAGAGGGCTTCTTTGTCTCTGTATCTGCCGGGGCTGGTAGCGGAAGTGGTGAGTGTTCTTGAATGGACACTGTGTGCTTCAAGGCTGGTAGAGATCTTTGTCTGTGGGACGTCAGACTTCAGGGCCCTGGAGCCCTCTGAGTAAGAACCACGCGTCACCTGCCAGCTGCAGCCTCTGGTTCATTTCATTGTCACACTCACCCTCTTAATTGCTGGCCCCCACTTCCCAGGTCAGGACCCTCTGCAGAGCTGGAGCTCGAGAAAGGCACTCTAAGGCAGAGCCAGGATTCAAACCCCAATTTGCCGGGTTCCCAAGCCCGAAGCTGTCCCCCTGTGCTCCGGGGCAGGGGTGCAGAGCTCGAGTCCTCCACAGGCCAGACCCCACCTGCTGTCTCTTTTTGTACAACCCAAGAGCTAAGGCTGGTTTCACGTTGTTACGTGGTTGAAAAGAAGTCAGAGGAGGAATAACACCTGTGGCATGAAGACGGCATGAAATCCCTACTTCAGCACGTGCAGTCTGGTCGGAACAGAGCCGTCACTCACAACAGCAGAGTCGAGTCGTTGCCACAGACGCCACAGGGCCAGCAAAGCCCAAAATATTTCCCCTCTCGCCCTTTACAGAAAAAGTTTGCAGACCCTGGTTGGGGAGGGGGGGTTCTCTGGAAGTTCAGAGTTTGGCTTTCCCAACGAACAGGAGAGGAAGATGAGGAGCTGGGAGCTAAGGGGCGGGGCGAGGCGAGGGTAGGCTGGCTCAGGTCATACCCCTGTACTGCAAGAGAGTCGGTGGCTAGATCCTTTCTCCCGAGGGTTTTCCTTTGAGCCGCTCATCTGCCCCTACTGCCCCCTTTCTGGGCGTGGGTCCTTAAAGGAGTAACAACTTACTGTCTCTTGACTGAAGCTGTTTTCTTCTCCAGTGGGTGGCCAGCATCGACGTGGTGGAGAATGAAGAGGCCAACGCCAGTGTCGTGGTTAAAATGTCAGACTCGTTCACGGAGCAGGCCGACCAGGTAACCCCGAAAAGGCCCCCCCACGCCTGGGGGAGAGGAGCCCCGAGGAGAGGTATCCACAGGTGATGTGGTCCTCAGTTTTACAAGTATTGTTTCTTGATTGTGGAAGCCAGATGTACCCAGTGAGGGACATGGGAAAAGTGGAAAAAAATAAGTGAAGATAAATTGCCCATAATTGATTTCTAGTTAGCAGACTGTTCACGTTTTAGCCCATTTTCTTGTGTTTCCTGTGGTTACTGTGTGTTATGAGCATTACAAGTTGAGATAATCTTGTATTTTATATTTTATCAGATTTTTTTAAGTTAAAATTTAATTTTAGTACTTCTCCAGATCACTTAAAAAACCCTCTGTGTCAACGTGTAGTTTTAAATTTTGTGGATTGGCCACAATTTTCTTGGTTTCCACATGTTGTGCACTTAACGTTTTTTTGCAATTTTTTTTGTTTTTCTCACTTTCACCTTTCTTTTCTTTTTTTTCATTCTTTTTTTTTATTGATTATGCTGTTACAGTTGTTCTATTCTCCCCTTCATTCCCCTCCACCCTACCCTCCCCCCGTCCCCACCATTACCCGCCCTTTAGTTTATGACCATGTGTCTCAAGTTCTTTAGATTCTATGCAATTTTCTATATTTACCATTAACAAGAATACTGTGGTCAACATCTCACTCTTCATCTCTGATTATCTATTTAGGATGGATTCTAAAAAGTGGAGTTCCCTAGTTCAAAGCAAGGATATGAACAAAACAGGTTATTTTGAATTATACAATGACAGGCTCATCATAAAACAAGAGGTCGAACAAAACTATAACTGTGTCAGTCAGTGGTGCGGTTCCCCTGGTGGCCCCGGGGTTGTGTGCCCCCACCCTGCAGGCAGCACTGTGAACAGCCAGACGGATGGGCGTCTTGGTCTTAAAGGCTGAGATGCTAAGTGGTTCCCCAGGTACCTGAGGATGTGCTTTCCGTGGTTCTGCATCCGGTGGCCCCGCCCACATTCCCTAGGGAAGTCCACCTTTGCGTGATGGGTCACCTTTCCAGGAGCACTCAGGGAGGCAGGCGGGCAGGGGGTGACCACCAGCCCCATTTGTGGCTGAGGGGACTCAGTGTCAGACACTAAGTGATCCACCCAGCAAGGTAGCTCGTGGTGGAGTCGGGAGTGGATCTCCTAACGTGAGACTTGTTACCAACTTACTAACATCGTTAACAAGTCCAGAGTCTGTTTTCTGTTGAGTTTGCTCTCCGTACTCATCTGAACACGGTTGGGGTCCCACGTTTGGTGCACCTTAGCTGGTTTTTATAACACATTTAAAATTTTTTTAAGTGAGGCATGTATGATGTTGGTCTACAATAAACCCAAAGGAAGGGGGAAGTCATGTCTAGTCCTGCTATGCAGTTCGTTAAAGTGTTGTGAGCTTTGCTTCCAGTTTGTTTCTGCAAACGTGTGTGTGTAGAAACTTAAAAATTAAAAAGAAACCCACACTGTGAGCATTCTCTCCTCACTTTCTAAAGCATCCGTTTGACGTAGGTTTGACTATAAAAAGCCAGCCACCTTATTCCAGAAGGTAGGATTTTGTTCGTTTTATACTACGGTCCTAATGTTTTCTGTGGTATTGGCCTTAATGGGCTTATTAGTAAAACCTGGCATGGCTTGGTTGTGGGTTGGGCAGCATTCTGAGTGCTTCATTCACTTTATCTCGCCCAGAACAAAGTTTCTCATTCGTCCTCCTTTTAGAAATGGAGAGTCTGAGGCACAGACAGGCCATGGTATTTGCTCAAGGTCAAACGAGCAGTGGGCAGCACAGCTGGGCAGTTAGACGTCTACTCTCCTCCCTACAGGCCAAGCTGCCTCGTGGCAAAACAGCTCCATGTGAGCAAAGTAACAAAACCTGAATTTAAATAATTGAATGCCAGGGCGCCCTGGGCTCCGAGAGCAGCTTGGCCATGCGGTTCCCTGCAGTCAGTCTCTTCGGCTGTGGTCAGCTGCAGGTTCTGATGTCTTTTCTGAGCGGGAGGTGGTCCCTCTCTGGGACTTGACGATACCTGTGCTTTCAAACTCTTCACCTTCTTCTACCGTCCTCCTGCCCTCCCACCCCCAGTTAAGAGTTTCTGGACAGCAGCAGGCCATCCAGTTCTTAAAACTCTAGGAGAGGAAGTTCAACCTGAGTGCACCTATAATTGGCCCCCTGGGCAGGAAGTCCCTAGTGACCATGAAAAGATGCAGACCTGAGGAAGGCATGAAATCTATAGAAAACTCTTGGGCAGAAAGCAAAATTTGAGGGGGAGGAGTTTAACAAACCAAAAAAAAACATGTCCAACAGATGCATCGTTGCTGCCGGCGCCATGCTTTCTTACAAAGTCGAAGGCACAGACGTCAGGGGTGGTGATGCCGCTGGGCACTGGGCTCCTGGCAACAGGACAGGGCTTAAGAATGAAAGGAGGGACCAGCCAGGAGGCCAGGGTAACAGGAAGGAGGTCAACAGCAGATAAGTCAGGATTAGGTGAGGGACTCATCAGCAGAGGCCAAGGGAACCTCAGGAATTTCTTAAAAGGAAAGCTTTGGGTGTGGGGTGTAGGGAGAGAGAGGCAAGGCTTGTTCCCATTGCCAATGCCTTGTCTCTGAAAGAGGAATCCCAGGGACCCAGGGCAGGGCCCGCAGTGCTCCTGCTGAGGCAGACACATTGTCTTGCACAAGTCTTCAGAAGCCTGAGGTGAGGAAGCCATGGTAGGCCTCCTCTCGGCCTGTCCACAGAAATGGGTTTGAAAAGGGTCCTGGCTGATGGTCAGAATTGCCTCTCGCCAGACTTCTGTGTAAATATTTTCAACACTTCAAAAATTTCAGTCAAACAATTAGATAAATAAAACGAACCCTCGTGTACTCAGTAGTGACATAACATTTCTCCATTGACCTTTTTTTTTTTTTTTTGCTTTAAAAAATAATTTGGCATTTTCTTTTAGAGTTGCAGATAAAGGGGTTTTTTTTTTGTATTGGGGAAGAGTAGAATTATCTCAAATTATGAATCTAATTTGCAAAGAAAATTCTGCAAAGGTATGTGCCAGAAACTTAGCTGCAGGCATTGACGCTCTGGGTGGTGTTTTCAACCTTTTTCTACCTAAAAAGAAATTAATCGTGTCCTTCCAAGGATGCTCACAGCCCCACCATTTAGAATGCTCAAAAGAAGGTTCTAGATGGCTTTATAAAAATCACGTGGACTTGTAGGTGGGCTTCACTATCCAAAACAGTTACTGTACATCTAGTTTTCAAAGTGTTAATTGACAGATACTGTTGAATGTCTTAAAGAAAGTGGAAAATGAACTGATGTATCAGCCAATTTACACTGACCTGGACGGTTTATGCATCTTTTTGTTGAAGGTGACTGCTGAGGTCGGAAAACTGTTGGGCGAAGAGAAGGTGGACGCCATCCTTTGTGTGGCCGGAGGATGGGCTGGGGGCAATGCCAAGTCCAAGTGTGAGTCCGTTTCCGAGTTAATCATTCATTCCGCTCTGCTCTTTGTCCGGGGGCAGGGGTGGGTCTGTGATGTGTGCCAGGCCAGACGTTCTCCCGTGCATCTCCCAGTGTTCACAGTAGCTCTGTGAGGTAGAAGCGGACACCCCACTTTACAGATGAAGAAAACTCTCCCCACACAGGGACTTGGGGGACGGGGACCTGGAGTTTGAAGTTTAGAGGCAGAATGAGATCAGCATATTCCCGCCCCGGTCTTACAGGGCTTATTACTGGGAATTGGGGGGATATGTGTGAAATGGAGAGATCATTCCGCAGGTCAAAAGGACTCAACATTGAGCCTTTGTGAAAGCTGAGTACACTTTCCAAGTTTTTACTATAGACATTTCCAAACTCGCAGAAAAGCCGGAAGGAGAGTTCAGCAAACCCCCTTCACCCCCCAGTCTATAATAGACTCAGCAGTTGCTGTACTTGCGGTCTCTGGCTTTCTTGCACCGTATGTGTGTCAGTGTGCATGTATTTTTTAAACGCTTGCAAGTAAGTGGACATGTGACCAATTTCAGCACGCATCCCCAGAATAAGCTCCTTTTCCTACATTATCCAAGTACCATTATCCTACCAAAGAAAACTAACAAATTCTATAAGATTAATAATACCCAATTCATATTCAATTTCCCCGACTTATTCCATGTCTTTTATAGGTGTTTTTTCTCCCTAAACCTATTCCATTCGTGGTTTATGCCTTATTTTGTTGTTGTTGTTAGTCTCTAACCCTGAATTTGTTTTTCCTCTGACAGACTCCTTGAGTGTGGGCAGTTTTCATAGAGAATGTCCTACATATGAATGTGTCCCCCTGTTCCATTAAGATGTATCATTTACCTTGTTCCTCTATCCCTAGTATTTCCTGTGACCCAGAATTTAGGTTCAGGGACTTGCTTAGATTCAGATCAAATGTTCTGGAGGGGAGAATTCTCCCTAAGTGACGTGTACTCACACCGATCACAGTGGGACTCTCCCCATGTCAGATGGCCCTACCCAGCCAGAGCGATGCCGAATTTGATGCTTGGCTAAGGTGGGAGCTGAGAGACTTCCATTGGAAAGGGCCATTTTTCTGTCTGCAATGGGTAAGCGATCTGTGGGAGGGTGCTTTGGCATTGTGGGTGAACACCCTTTTTAACGCTTTGAGAATTCCAAATTTTAAAACCTAAGGCTTTTAAGCATCCATTGCTAATCCCTGCCTGAATCAGTTATTCCAAGGGGGTTGGAAGATGGTAGTTTTCTGATTCTGTCATTTTCTCTACATTTATTAGTCAAAGCCGTATGAAAAGGACTCGATTTTCTGTGAACCACACTTGAACACGAAACTGGTGTTTTGTGGGGTGATCAGGTTGGCCACACACCCTGATGGCCTTTTGTGTACTTCGGGAACAAGAAATGATAAATGCGGGTCCTTTTTTTCTAGTCCTTTTTAGCAGGGAAATGCAATGCCTCGGTTATCACCGAGGGAGGGCCCCTCCTGGTCTATCAGGGGGCCTTTCTTTCTGGGTCATGGGTACGGCGTCACTTGTGCCTTGGGTTCTTTGTGCCTTGTCAGGAGGGGAGGGGGCCGCTGCCCAGCCACCAGAATTACAGGTGTTACTCTTTATTTCTCCTCATCTTTAGCAAGACCAGACAGTTAGAATAGGTCTGAAATGGTTGTCATTCCAGCTTTCCTTTAAAGGGTCTTTAAAGCCAGCATTGAACTTTCAGCTGTAAAAAAAAATGTAGCTCTATAAAAGCTCTTTTTACGTCCACCACGTGGTTGTGGTCCCTCAGCTTTTATCATGGGTAAGACCTGACGTAGACATACACGTTCTTATTACGGATCTAATGCCCTTCGTAAAGTAGAACAGTCTTGGAATTAGAGCCAGTCCCAGACGTCTGTTAACAGTCCTCATTTATTGGCTTAACTGTTACCAGGTTATAGTGAGGAAGCTGAGACTCTAGGGATCAGGTGGCCTGGATCTGAACCTACATCTTTGCCCACAGAGCTCTGTGCTGTTCGTCCTAGGTCTTGTGGGCAGGGACTGGGGGCGTCTGGTACTCCTGTGGACATCGGCGCCACAGGCTTTCGCTGTGTTCCCTGCGCGTGCTGAGCCAGCCTATTGTCCTTTCTCTCAGCTCTCTTCAAAAACTGCGACCTGATGTGGAAGCAGAGTGTGTGGACATCAACCATCTCCAGCCACCTGGCCACCAAGCACCTCAAGGAAGGGGGCCTGCTGACCTTGGCGGGGGCCAAGGCCGCGCTGGATGGGACCCCTGGTAAGCCTTCCTTTCCCCAGCTGTGGGATGGCAGTGCTGGTACTCGCTCACGGGGGCTGCCAGGGACTTCCATGGAACCAGGAACGTGGGGGCCCTGGACCCTCTGAGATGCTCTGTGTGGTGGATTTTGCTTCCTTTACGCCTGAATCTTAGGAAGAGGACTCCTGGTTCTTCTATTTGCATTGTCCTTGTGGTAAGGAATGCTGTCATCTGGCACCCCGCCCCCCCCGAGCTGGTTTATTTATCCATGACCCACTCAGGGAACGAACGGTGTTGTAGTAGATGTGAATTATTCCATAAACGTGTATTACCATCCTCACCCTGTGTTCACGTGTCCTAGGGGGAGCAGCTCGGCAGCTGTTACAGAGAAAAATGGGGGGGGGGAGTCTTCATCCTTGAACAGATTATGTGTGTATTTGACCAAATTTCTGCTGTAGTTCTTGTAATTGTAACTAGTGACTGTAGCATCTACCTTGAGGAGTAGCTGTAAATCATTGGCGGTAATAATGTGCTTGAATCGCCCACCACGTGACGAGACTTCTCATGAGTCGCTTCACGTCACGTGTATTCTCATGTGATCCTGCAGCCGATGTCATTATTAAAATTGTTTCCAACTTACAGGTAAGGAAACCGACTTACCGTGGTGAACTCACCTGCCTGGGTTCCTGCAGTAAGTGGGTTGTGAACTTACTGTGGACCAGGACCCGACCGTTTCTAGATTCCGTGCCTTTCCATCATGTCGGGCAGACCTGGTTCCCCTTGCAGTGTTTCATTCCATGCGTCCGTTCGCTGGGGCTGCCCTAGCAGAGCACCCTGGGCGGCTTCAACAGCAGAAGTTTGTCTCATGATTTCCGAGGCTGGAAGTTCAGGATCAAGGTGTCAGCAGAGTTGGTTTCTGGCATCTCTCCCCTCGGCTTTGCCGATAGCTGTCTTCTCCTCTGTCCTCACACGCTCTTCTCTCTGTGCCTGTCTGTGTGCCCACCTGTGTCCCAGTCTCCTCTCATAAGGACATGGTCATCCTACCTTGGGACCCACACCAATGACCTCATTTTAACTTAATGACCTTGGAAAAGACCCCATCTCCAAATGCAGTCATATTCTGAGATGCAGGGCTGAGGGCTTCAACATATGAATTTTTTGGGGGGGTCACAATTCAACCCTTAATACTCCCTTTCAGATGGGATTAAAGGAACTTAAGTGGGATTTAGGGGACACAGCACAAAGGCAGAAAGAATCCACCTCTGCTGGCTAAGTTAAACTCTTTAATAAAAGGGAGGGTGGTTTTCTGACCTGCTTGGTGTGCTAGAGACCTTGAGCACCTTTTCCAGTTTGAATGTAACTCCTGGAACTGTGAGGCCCTTGCAGATCAACAGTGTCTAGCCTCTCACTTTCTCATTACGTTTCTCAGAGCATCTGATCTTGCAGGCCCGGGGCCATGGCAGTCACTGTGTAAATGTCAGATGTTCGTGTGCTTGAGCTCTGATTTTTATTACAGGTGACAGAGAGCAGATGCACTAGAAAGTAACAAGAGAAATGAGTAATAGCTTGACCTTTAAAGGAAAAAAACCTAGGATTGAAAGACTAATTTTTGGGAAGAACAAAACAGTTACCTACTTTCCTTTGGTTTGTAAATATCCTTTGTAGTTTTGGTTACTGGTGAAGATTACAGGCTCGGGGACTATACAGGGTGGGTTTCTGTTGTGATTTTGCCACTTACTGTGTGATATTGGGTAAGTTACTTCATCTCTCTGAGCCTTAGTCTTGCCATCTGTGAAGTGGGGATAAATAGTAAAATCCTTTATACGGTGGTTGTGGCTCGAAAACATCTTCATGGTTGTAAATGGCTTAGACAGGTATGACGGAGAGAATCGTAAATGTGAACCAGTCTTATTACTTACTCCAGGCTTACTCTTGTCTGGCTACTCTTGCTTCAGGTCTTAATAAGTGTGTCATTCATCTTTGTCAACTGTCGATATTGTTAAACTTATTGGAGTCATGGAATCTTTCAACTTTGATTCAGACCCCAGAAGAATCTGGGGAAATCTATGACCAATTTGAACGTAAAGAATGAAGAGGGTTAGCAGCCTTTCAAGCCCGAGAAAAGTTCAAAAGTGGAGAGACATTTTTCACTGGGAAAGATACTGAGAAACCCCCCACCTTCTTATTCCAAGGTTGTATCTGTAGATTATCTAATGGAGGATACACTGTATTAAAATGAGGGTGATCACTTTTGTTTTGCTGTGTTTGGAAATCAGTCCTGAGGGACTACCTTGATATGGGAAGAAAGTATTTATCGTCTTACGAAATACTTAAAAAATTTTTTTCGAATGATCTCCCTGCCTGCATGTGTAGAACTCAGTAGAATTAAATGCTCTGGGTTGCTGGTGGCTTGCATCCCTCTTCATCAACCCCCCCTCCCCCCTGTGCTGTTTGAATGGAATGAGGAGTGAGTGCTGGAGGGCACTGGGGGCAGGGTTTGCTGGCTCTTTCTGCCACTGTGGGCCCCGCCCCTGATCAAGCAGAGATACCCAGGATGGTGAAATACTCTGCTTGTGCTTCTAAGTAACTATTGGAGACCTTGACCGCCCTTGCAGCCCAGGGTTGTGGTGGAAGCGGTTTGGCGATTGGTTCCCGCCTGGGCTGTGATCCCCACCTCTCTCTGGAGGGCATCAGCTGTTGCACTTTAAAGAGCAAGTGCCCTGGGTGTTTTCAGAGAGGCTGCCGACCTCTGGGAGGAGTTTTATGCAGGAGGAAGGTGTTCACAGCAGTGAACTGATCTCTGCTGCCCTGACAGACTGTGGTGTTCAGGGAGCCTCTGCAGCTGGGGGCTGTGGGGGGTCTGGGGAGGAGAGACCCTGTGGCCGCCACCTGTCTGCGGGCGGAGCAGGCGGAAGCCTGTTCTGATGAGACGCAGGTCTCGCTTCGGTCCGCAAACGTTCACTGGCCAACGGAGCAGAGGAAGACGGGCAGGCGGCCTTGCATGCATTGGTCAGAACTGCTCAAATGCAGCCCTTTACACAGGGAGTCGGACTCCGGGGCACATCGCTTCTGTGAATTTGATGGGAAACATTTATTGAGTGTCTGCCCTGTGCTGAGCCCAGAATTAGGTACTTCATCCCCATTTTACAGATCGGGTAACTGAGGGTTGGAAGGGCAATGAGAACTTGCTCAGGATTTCTTTAGTGTTAAGTGGAAGAGCTGGGATTTGAACCTGTCCTGCCCGACTTCAGATGACAGCTCAGTTTTGCTCCCAGGCAGTTAATGATCCAGGGGTTCAGCACCTGGCTCTTGCCTGGCCTTTTGCCTCTGTGTCGGCCTCAGTGCCAGTGTGTGTGCGTGAGCTCGGGCAGGTTAGTGACCCTGTCCGAGCTTTGGTTTTCTCAGCAATAAAATTAAAAACAGGGTCAACTTCATGGCTTTTTTAGATACATGTTAAGTGCGAGGCGACGTAGGTGCCCTTGACATGTTACATCCCTTCCTCGCTCTCCACAGATGTCCATCCTTCTTCCCGGCCTCCTCTGGCCCCTGGGGTGGGGGTCTTTGGACACACCGGTGGTGGCCAGCGGTCACTGAATGGTTTCCTCCCCCTGTCCCAGGGATGGTCGGCTACGGCATGGCCAAGGGCGCCGTCCACCAGCTCTGCCAGAGCCTCGCGGGGAAGAACAGCGGCATGCCGCCCCGGTCCGCGGCCATCGCAGTGCTGCCGTAAGTGCTTGGGGGCTCTCCGGCCACCGCTGCCCTGAGCCCTTTCCCCCAGGGACCCGGCTGCGCCTCAGATTCACCCCTGGCCCCAAAGAGCCTTCTTCAGGTGCTGGGGGAGCCTGGGCAGGCCAGAGCGGTGGACCGGCTGATGGAAGGGTCTGCTGTCTTGCCTCTTTCTTGTTTTCTTTTTTGACCTTCATCTGTTCCCCCTGCCCTTCCTCCTAATTAAAATTAGTCTATGCATTTTACTTTAATGTTTATCATTCTCTGTTCATGTCATGGTGAGGTCACTGTGGAAGGGGGCTGTATTCAGTCCTCGTGGGGTGGGGTGGGAAGGAGCCTGAGGGAGAACGCAGGACACTGGGGAGACAGTGATCAGGACGAAGGTCCCCTCAGCGGAACCAGGCGAGGCAGCAGCTTGGAGGCAGGGGCTCCCTTTTGCTGGTCAAGCACCGTCTGGCTTACCTGTGGCCTGTGGCCCTGTGAAGGAGCTGTCGGGATGGCTGGGGGCCTGGACTGTCCTGTACCTTCACGGGTACACTGGTCCCGCAGCTGCTCTGAGTGGGTCCCAAAGCCCGAAGGTTCTTGGGAAAGTCGCACTACATGTATTCTCCCTGAAAACCCTACGGTTTCATGGAAGACAGCCACAAAATGAAGACAGAGGCCATCTTTTTCCCCACGGTTAGAGGCATGGTATTCACACTGCAGAAATCCTCAGAAGTGAGTCTGCCACCTTGTAGGGAGTGAGTGAAGACTTTTCGCAGCAAAGTGGTTTCCTTCATTAAAGACTGCATTAAAAAAAAAACAACACAAGATGTGGCTTTTCCTTTTGCTCCCATCTGCCTCGGGCGAGTCACACAGCGCCTCAGCGAGCCCAGCTTGCGTGTGGCCTCTGTGCCTGCGGCAGCTTCCTGGGCTCCCTCTGATTGTCCTGTGTGGTCTCTCCATGGAAACACCACTGCCCCGGTGCCGGGGGCTCCTCCTGGGGGGGGGGGAGGTGGGCAGCTGGGCAGACACAAATGACCGGCTCATCTCTGCTCCGCAGGGTCACGCTGGACACTCCGATGAACAGGAAGTCGATGCCCGAGGCCGACTTCAGCTCCTGGACACCCTTGGAGTTCCTCGTCGAGTGAGTGTCATGGTCTCACATCAGTGACCACATGGCTCCCAGCCCACTTTCTCTGCCCCTGAAGGGTGCAAGGTCATGCCGGTGTCCTCCCAGCTTATCGACACTGTGGTTGTCTGGGAGCTCGCGGCCTCGGAGTGCACATGGTGCACCAGTTGGGACCCCCTGGAGTGGGGCGTGGGCGGTGGATGGAGCAGTTCCCAGCTCTGGTCATTCAGGGAGCTGTAGCCGCGCTTTGCTGTTTGAGCCCGTGTGAGGCCTGCTGGGCTTGTGCAGCCCTCGGAGGGGAACTGGGAAGACTTGCAGCTGCGTGTTAGCTCTGGTCCAGGAGCTACAGACGGGCTCTGAGGATGCCCCACGACCCCCGAGTGCTTTCCGTTAGAGCGGGCCCAGAGTCCCAGCCGGGGGTTGTTAGAGGGACCCTGCGCCCACACCCAAAGCAGACGTTTCAATGGTGATCAGCCACTTGTTCAGCGGCGTGAGTTTCTTACGCCTTTTCTTACCCCAGTCTCCTTGCAGATGGTCTTCTCAACTCCTCCAGGCAGGCTTAATTAGTAAATGCTCCTCTTCTGGCATTTAATGTATTTTATTGTAGTAGTCTGGTTTTTGTATTGCATGTCCCATTGCTTGACAGAGCTGTAGGTGTTTCATAAATACTTGCCAAAAAAAAAAAAAAAGAATGAGTTTCTCCTTTCTCTCAAATATCTGGGAAGGTCATATAACAAAGCATGAAGTATTTTGCACATGTTTATCTCCTAGTATGAACTAACTAAAGTTTTAAAAAATTACTTAAAACCATACCACTGGGTTATAAAGTATTCCAACACTGCGGAAAACTGCAAAGGCGGGAGTTACAGTCTTGCCAGATTCTGCCACTCAGAAGCCAGAAGGAGCCAAGGCTTGAGATCACCGGGCCTGGCGCCGCGCCAGGAATTCCTTAGTGGTTTTCGCAGCGGCTCCGCCCTCCTAAGTCGTGGGTGTGAATATAAGCGTGTGGCAGATTTTTGTTTTGAAGTCTAAAGCTTCTTTGTTTGTTCCAGGACCTTTCACGACTGGATCACAGAGAAAAACCGGCCCAGCTCAGGAAGCCTAGTCCAGGTGGTAACTATGGAGGGGAAGACCGAACTCACCCCGGCGTATTTCTGAGCCCCGTGCGGGTGCTGGCGCGGGGTCTGCCGCGAAAGCCCCCGTGTCTCTGTGTGGCCGCGCCTGGCCCTGTGTTTTCGGTGACCCTGACGGTGGTACGAGACCCCAAGGCCCGTTTTTCTCTCACCTAATGTGCATTCGCTTCTCCGAGGCAGTGTCAAGTGTTCGCGTGAAATAAAAACGCACAGGTGGAGGCCCGCGGATGGCAGTGTCCTCCATCCACACTGACCGCCAGAGCGCGGAGGTCTCTGCACGGCCCCCTGTCTCGGCGTCCCGTGGAAGCGCTTTTGAGACAGCCCGTGTGTCCCTGACCGTGTCTGTCGGCCTGACTGCGCCCGGGATTTGTTGGCGTCAGGGACAGGAGTTACGTTTCTGTCCCAGGTGTAGTGTCCGCAGCCTCCATTAAACTGCCTTAACCCCCTTTCGTGTTGTTCGCAGAGCCCAGCGCGCTCTGCCAAGGCCTCTTTTTCCTGTGCGGTGGCCAGGTGTGCGCAAGAATGGCCTGTGATTATTCGGAGTTTATCTGCCTAATAAATGCGCTTCATGGACCGTGCGGGCTTCTGTGGTCGCAGTGCCGCGTATGCACAGTCGTAGATGATCGTGCTGGAGTCCTGGGCTGCTGGCCGTCTTCAGTCCGGGGTGTTCGGAAGCGGGTGGACCTGCCCTGCAGTGGGTTTTCTGGGCACAGGGAGGGCCCGGCTCTCCTGCGGGCGCGTTGGGTGCGGGTGGTGGGCAGGCCCCGTGCATTCGGACGCCGCACCCCAGCGGCGGGTGCAGGCTGTCCTGGCCGAGCGCGGAGGGCCGGTCCTTCATTCTGCGGAGGAGGAAGCCAAGCCGACTTACCACCCGCGTTGCTGGAAAGTGGTAGAACTAAGCCCAGAACCCTGGTCACCAGTTGGCCACTGTTTAAGAAGGCCGTGTTTTCTTCTTTGATTCCTTTTTAAAAAAATTTTATCGAGATCAAATTCATAGGACAAAATGTCAACCATATTAAAGTGAAAAAAACTCCAGTGGCATTTAGTACGATCGTGGTGTTCTGACACCACCGGCTCTGCCCAGTTCCAAAGCGCGTTCACCGCCCCGAAGTCAACCCCGCGCCCTGGAGCAGGCATCGCGCTGCCCCTGCGCACCACCAACCGACTGACTGTCTCCACGGATGTGGATATTGTATGTCAACAGGGCCATGCATCATGGGGCCTTCCGCGTCTGGCTTCATTCCCACGGCGGGATTTTGAGGCTCTTCCGCGTCATAGCAGTGTCAGGACTTCCCTGAGTTTGTGGCTGAACGTCGCCCTGCCGTGTGCACAGGCGCCAGCACCTTTGTCCATCTGTCTGAAGACAGACATGGAAGCCGCTTCCGCCTTCGGCGGCTGAGAATAGCGCCGCTGTGGCGTTTACATACAAGTCCTTGGGCCCTGTTCTCAGTGCTTGTGCGTATGTTACTCAAGAGTGCGTCGCTCTGTCCTCTGGTGAGTCTGTGTAGCTAGTTGAGGAGTCTGTCTTTGTCCTTCACATTTATCCTTCAAGGTGATAGCCGAATCTTACAGGAAATAAGGCGGAGGCCCAGAAGGGTGGGGCTGATTTGTTTACTCACCCAGCGCTGTGGTCTGGATGTTTGCTCCCCTAAACGCCTACGTGGAGATCCTGATGCCCAGCGTGATGGTGCAGGAGGCTTCTGGGAGCTGAGCCCCATCCCCCACCTCCGGGAAGGGGAGAGGCTGGAGGCTGAATCCACTGCCAGTGGCCACAGATTTGCTCCATCACAGGATGCTGTTGGGAGAGCCTCTGGGTTGGTGACCACGTGGAGGTACCGGGAGGGTGCTGTCCTGTGGGCGGGGCGGGGAGAAGGCAGCTCTGTGCCCTTCCCCCACACCACGCCCCATGGTGTGGTCTTCCAACAGGCTGTTCCTGAGTTGTATCATTTTAAATAAACTGGTGACCCAGTAAGCGAAACATTTCTCTGAGTGCTGGGAGTCGCTCTAGCGAAATTCATGGAACCGGAGGAGGGGGTTACTGGAACCTCTGTCTATAGTCGGTTGGTCAGAAGCACAGGTGACAGCTCGGACTTGCAGTTGGCACCTGAAGTGTAGAGTGCGGGGTATCTGGTGGGACTGAGCCCTTGACCCATGGGATGTGATGCTGTCACTGTAGCATCCACCAACACGAGCAACAAATGGTCGGAAGCTTTCAGGAGTTTAAGATGGAACTTTATTGGCCAAAGCTTTACCTGCACAAGGGCGAACTCTTGGGGTGTCCGGAGACACGGTGCCCAGAGGCTGCAAATGAAAGTCACGCCTGGTGCTTACAGCCTGGGGTTTTTATTGGGGTGAGCAAGCAAGCAAATACAGAAGCAGACGTAGCTGTTAGCAATTGGCTATCTCGAGAGAACACACATGGCTATGTTCTCTGCTTACAACAATGGGTACTTTTCTGCAAGGACAAGGTCATGCACAAGGCGGTTTATCTTGTTCAGCACTCTTTGTACTTTCTGTACTTTCTATCTTCCTTGCTGAGACAGTCTGGAGCCTGCCTCGGGTTCCTCTTGGCTACTTTTATCTAATTCCGGGCCTAACATCACCAGTTAGACAGTGTCAGAACTGAGTGGACATGGGACACCCAGTTGGCGTCGGAGAACCGCTTGGTGTGGGGAAAGCACCCACAGGCTGTAACTGGTGCCAGAATCCCTGCCTGCCAAGCTCCTTGGCCAGCCCTCTTCCTTAGTGTCGTGCCAGAGCAACGCCAAGGCTCATCCAGCGTGTCATAGGCAGTGGGTGCTGCGGGACAGCGAGGCTGCCTGGACCTCAGGCTCTCAGCTCCGGGTGGCTCTCGGCCTCGTCCTTTTCTGGAGAGCAAGACTTAGGGGTGCACCCCCCACCTCTGCTCTTTGGGAAACAGCGTGAGCACCGGAACCGGTAAACTTGCTACTGGATTCTCTCTCTGTCCCTCACTGTGCTCCTGCCTCGCACTTTCGCCTGCTCCTGCAACGGTCCTGGTGGTCCTTTTCCACAAGCCTCGTGGGGAGTGTGGTCCACCTGGGAGAGCTCAGGCCTCGGGGCTTCTTCACATGGATGTGAAACATGCCTGTTGTGGAGAATCAGATTTTTGGTTAATAAAAATGCAGAGTATTTTTTTAAACATTTATTTCCATGGGTATAGGCAGACCTAACATTTTGAAAATGCCTTTATTCCATCACTTGTTTGTCACGTTTATTATGTATCCACACTTTTCCTCTCTGAGCTTCCAAAGCAGATTTCTCAGAGGCCCAGGAAGGGACTGCGGTCCAGGTCATCGGTAGCCGGTGAGCAGCAGGGAGGCGGACGTGGTCTGAATCGGACTCTCAGCGCCTGGTGACGGGGGCTGGCTCTTAGCTGCGTGTGACTCGGTGGCACTGACAGCTTACGTGGAAACGTGACTGGCTGGGTTGGCTACACGTAATTCCGGTGTGTTTCGGTGACACTTAAAGACTGATGTCTGAGACCATTTCCTAGATCCTTCAAAGACAGACACCCCCCCCACAGTTACAACGAAACAACTGGCAACTAGGAGATGAGTCCATTTGGGAGATCCGATTAATGCACAGCAGAGTATAGTCAGCAACACTATCACCTACTTCCAAGTGCCCGACAGACTAGACCTTAAATGTGCTCACCACGAAGAGAGAAGTGAGAACCATGTGTTGTAGTGGAGGTGTGAGCTAATGCCACAGAGGTAACTGTTGGAATCTACAAATGTGTGAAGTCAACAGGTACATACCTTTAACTGGCAAAGTATATGTCAGTCACATCTCAGGAAAAACAGAACCACAGGACAGACGCCATCTTTGGGGTGCGCATTGCCCGTGTCACCTGCAGGGCTGTGTGCGTCTTGGAGGTGTGAATGTCAGGGCTCCCCGAGACTCCGCCTCAGTCCTTTCCTCCGACTTCAGCCCTCAGAAGCATCGCCCAGGGAGCTTCTTGAAACCGCGTTCTTGGAAGCCCCCCCAGTCCTGGTCCGCAGCTGTCGGGTAAAACCGCATACTCATTGTCTATTGCTGCCGAACAAACCGCCCCAAACACGGCAAATTAAAAGATTTGTTGTCCTTCACAGTTTCTGTGGGTCAGGGATTCAGGGGCCCTGGCTCAGGGTTTCTCATGAACTTGCTGTCCGATGTCAGTCAAGGCTGCGTCCCCCTGAAGGCTTGAGTGGGCCGGGTGTCCACTGTCGGGGACAGTTCAGGACAGGAAGGACGTGCCTCCCGGACTTTGGTGCATCAGCCACAGGTGCTGCTGGGAATGGATCCCTTCCGGGGTCCTCGGACCACCGCCTCTGGCCAGCACCCCAAACATCATGGTTTTCTCCTTCAGCAGCCGTCACCTACAGCCTAGGTGTCCATCGCTCCCCTCTGTGCTATGTCACTTTGCCCTCTGGGCCACTGTCCAGGGCCCTGTGCCTCCCCACATGGCCCACATCCGGCCTGTGGGAAAACACAGGACTTTGCCTTCCCTCCCGCCCCTTCTCAGAGTGAGTGGCTGGGGGCCACGCGGTGGCTCTCCAGTGGCTGTTCCCGGGTCTGGCCCCTTCTTTGTCACGGACAGGAGGTGGTGTTCAGGGACTCTGGCAATGGCTTCCCAGCCGCTCACTGGGCCCTGCAGAAACAGTTCACCACTCTGCTGGGAGCATCGGGCCCTGGTACCTGTCAGGGGCTTTGCTGTGGGTGTCAGCAGGAGAACTGACTTGCCAGGTCCCTTTTGAGATCCTGTCCAGTACGTCAACTCTAAAGCTTCCCTGAACCCCAGACTCCAGCTCCAAGGAGCCTCTGGACCCTCTCCACGTGGGTGTGCCCGAGGTGACCTGAAGGTGGCGTGTCAGAGCTCAGCACCCGACCCTCTGTCAGTCTGTTCGGGCTGCAGTTACACTCCACACACTGGTGGTTTATGAACAACAGACATTCATTTCTTGCCGTTCTGGAGGCCGGAATTCCAAGATCGGGGCGCCAGCATGACTTGGGGAGGGCCCTGGTGGGGTCCCAGGCTTCTCATTGCATCTTCACATGGTTGATGGAAGCCCTCTGGGGTCCCCCTTATAAGAGCACTAATCCCATTCACAAGGGCTCCACTCCCATCACCTAACACCTCCTGAAGGCCTCACTTCCCAGTAACTATCAGACATTAGGATTTCAACTTACACATTTGGGGAGGACATGAACAGTCAAACCACTACAATCCCTGGGAACCAGATCTTTCGGTTTTGGGGGCCAGCACAGCCTAGGAACCGTGTCTCGCCCTGGGCCCCCTTGCTCTCCCTGCCTCCTCCACCTGACCCTTCACCACGCCCGCTGATGTGGCCTTCCCATCATTCCACGACTGGGCCCTCTCTGCCTCTGCGCGCCACGCTCCCCACCACCCTGGCTCCGCCCTCCTCCCTCACACTGTCTCCATCCCTGAGTGGCCTCGTGTCCAAGAGCCAGTGTTGCCACCCGCTCCAGGAAGCTTTCCATGATGAAATCCCATCTTGGACCAAAGGCTGGGCTGGGTTAGGTGTCCCTCCTCTGGTCCTGGGGGCTCCTGTGCCATC